GATAGATATGTCTTTAATATCTTGTAAATTTGAAACTATCATCATTTGCTCAAATGTTAGTTACAATTAGTAGAATCTACTGATTGTGATATTTTGCATACTAGTTAGATGAGTGGAACATTTAGTAAATTGTAGTACCAGTACTATAGCGTATAGAAGAGATTTTGATACAATAATTTTGAAGCAAAATATTATATAGTTATGAAGGAAAATATTGCAACAGTAAGCCTGATCGGTAAGTGTTGCGGAGCAAAGCACCGTACTTGCTAATTAAATAGATTTTGTCAGTATTTAGCTAATGGATTATATTGGTAGACCAATCGCGAATCGCGCATACATTATTGCATAAATATATATAGAAAATTTCAGAGTCGTGACGATATATATATTTCTTTGCGCTCGCGCGGCGTATATATCCGATTTTTAGTGTTTCATTTTTTATTTCCTTTTATTATCTTTTTGTTATTATTTTTCGCGGGGGTTCAGGTCTTCTCTATCTATCGGTAATATGTCCATAAATCCAATCTTTAGTTGATTGCATAATATCTGAGATAGATTTATTATACTTTTGTTATTATTTGGTTGAAATGAACAAATATGTGATGAGAATTTTCTTTTACGAATAGATCTTTGTCGTCAGGTATGCAATCATTACTATAGCCTTAATTTCCTTTATTAAACGATATTAGATTAAATAATATTTTAACAATTACAGATTCCTTTCATTCCTTTACTTCGCAATATAGTACCGATGCAGCAGTCTGCAGTAAATTTCATCAAACTACTATATTCTATATTTTAGTAAATTGTGATGAACTTGTTGATATCTACGGGAAGACATACTTTCTCCTGGAAGTTTCATATTGATTTACAAGTAGACCTGTTAAATATTGCCAATTTTGTAGTAGTATTTAATATTGCATTTTTACACTGCAAATTCATAGAATTAACTATGAGGAGCTTCATAAGATGCTGACTTACTCATAAACCTTATAGACTAAATAATTCGTCTCTTTATAAATGGCAAGTTTCTTGTCTTCTAACCTCCAATCAAGGTTTAAGTCAGCATCTTGATGATGTTATCAAGTAATAATATCATAAATTTCTTCCAACTATGCCCAATTAAATACAGTAAAGGAATCAATTTAAATTGCAAAACTGATAATAAAGGACAATAATGAAGATATAAATCTGGCTTTTTTGCAAATAAATATGCATGTCAATCCCAAACAATATTTTACATAGCTAAATCGAAAAAGTTGTTACTGAAATGATATTTCTACTGATAATGTTACGGAGCAATTTTATTAGATTGAATATTATTAAATACAAAAGCTTTTAGTAACAAGAAATTTATCTGAATTACTAAATCTAAACCGAGATGTTTTACGACATGATAGTGTAAGGATTTACAAAACCGCGAATAGTTTTAACTGTATTTGTCAGTATCCCAACCAAGAGTATTCAAAGCTACCTAAGAATTGACTTGATCGACTATATTTTGAGACAAATAAATTTATTTTAGTCATAGTAAATTGCTTAAACAGCATTTGAACATAGTCTCATGAAAACTAAACAATCAAAATCAGTCTAGATAGTCATGTTAACGAGTTATTTGAAAAAAAAAAAAATATTATATTACCTTAACCGATGTTAATTGCATCACACTTCATTTTTTACCAGGCTAAAATCGTTTTGTGAATTTGTAATTGCCATTAATTAGTACCGTAACTGATGCTCATTAATGGTATGCAATAGACGTCATAAACTTCAGTAACTTTTGCTAAAGAGTCTTTTTTGAATTACATTTGAATTTATGCTCGCTACATACAGCTGTAATTAAATAATGAAATATTATAATCCACGAAAAATTATATAGGATAATATGGTTACAGTAAGGAATAGCTTAGTCAATAAATAAAATTTAATCGGTAATAAATAAACTTAAGCAACATCAAAATTGAGTGTACCAGTTTAGCCAAAACAAATAATCATAAATAAAAATTACTTCGTATATTACTCATAAACAGGAATGTTATGTTGTCAATCATAATAGCAACGTGAAAATATAACTGTGATATGCTGTGAGCATACCAAGAGTAAAGCTTAATCTCGGATTGAATAAATTCCCGTTAACCTTGTCATTAATTTTGTAAGAATCATGGAAGAAACGATTAAATTGCCTTGACCAGCTTGCCTTCAGCAGCTACGAATAGCTATTGAACAGTTTAAGATATCACGTAGCACGATAGAAATCACTCCAATCAATCTGATACTAGCGGAATTAACGTGAGGTTAGTGCTAAGGTGAGAATAATGGCTAGTAAAATAAAAATAGCGATAACGATAAAAGTTGTTTTTTTACCACATAAACAACAACTGCAAACTTTATTCCACCACGCCTTATTACTTATTTGTTTAGTATTTTTCTGAAAAATAGATGCACCCTCACTTAATTTTTCCGCCTGCATTTGGACTTTTTGTATATTTTCTCCTCTCTCTGCTATTTGATCCATAGTTTTAGGAACATGTTTCGTCTTAAGCGACTGTAGTCTAGCTTGAACTTCTGCAAATGAAGCTGATCTAGCCCTTTCTGGATCGAACGAATTCGATCTTGGTCTTGCTTGATACGTATCATTAGGTGCAAGTTGTTCGTTGGACGAATTCGATCTCAATTTTGGTCGATGGAAATGCAGCTTCTTCTTTTTCCTTTGTGCTCTATCAGAATCTGAGGGATTTTCTTGTGAATTAGCAATCTGGGAATAGCTAATGCCAGGTTTAGATTTTCTTAAAATATTCATCTTAGGGCTATACCATGGCGAATTCAAACGACGTTAAAAAACTCTAACAAAGAACTCTAATGATTGCGGTTAAGTGAAATTTTTTGACCTCTGTCTATAAAAAAATTTGATCCTTAACCGTCTGGAAGTGAAGATTTAGCTAATTAGTCTATAGCTATTTAGGCTTTTTTATATTCAAAGTAAATAATATTGTTCTATTGATGAACCATTAGTAGCAATGTTCATTCCCGGAGAAATCACACTATTGTACGTCTAATTTCACTTAAGTTTTTATTATGTTAATTTATAGACGGATTGGAAAATCATTTATTCATATTTACTACAATTGATGGAATTAGATTGTTGCACGTCATCAATGCGTGCAGTTTATTTTGAATATGCGATGGTTTAGTGCTATGCTATTTAAGAACAAGAAGGGCAAACCATCATGATTATGTACGTGAACATTCAAGAAATTTTAAAAAGATAGTGGAAGCGGTGATTTTTATTGAGATTTAAAACAATCCTCTTCTATCGAGAGCTTATTAGATAGGAGAGAACCTAATAGAAATTCAAAATGGTTTAAAAATCCTTTAACCAACAAAAGTCCCAAAAAAAGAAAATAAATTTTCAACGGCTAATTTATATAATCCAGACATTACTTTTCAAGTAGAGTATGTTGTTGGTTTGATGAGTATTTTTAACTCTCTATAAGCGTATCATTTTAAATTTTGGAGATTAAAATTTGCAATAATTTACTTCTATTACCGGTACTGTAATAATTGCCATAAGCAGTTCAAATTTCTTTACCTGCTACTTCTATATACTTAAAAGCTTTCATAATAATATCATTTTTAAACAGCGATTTGAAAACTATTTCGAAAGAGAAAATTTAAGTTTCCAAAACGCTGAATATACTTAGTATTTTACCTTCATTCAAAGATTGGCTGACATTCATTCATTAACCATAAACTACGTTCCTATTATATTGTATCTTGGCATTACCACTATTTTTTCGCTTCCTTAAATATTATCGCATGTTTCTTCCTTCAGGCTATTAAGTAATGACAATATCTCAAAAAGTAGCTGCGCCCATATCAGGTTAATAACCTTTTGTAGAATAAAGACAAAGTTAACCTTACAAGCTTTAACCTTTTATAGCATTAGAACCCAGTCAAGGAACCAAAATATACGTATATTAAATTGATGCTTAGGATAAATTCCGTAATTTAATCCTGTTGAGCTTCTAGAAGTCCTGGTAACATTGTATACTCGTACTCTCCTTCCTTAATTTTACAAATTCCTAAGCTCATAGAAGATAGTCTATCTCATAGCCATACCATCGCCAGTTTACATAGTTTTCTCATTTACATCCATTTTTGACCGCTAAGGTGCAATAACTGATAGTTTTTGTTGCCTATGTTGATAATACAGATAGTACGAGTAGAAAGGCTATTGGGTCAATATCCATGTGATACTGATAGCACTTGTGACTGTTATTTCTGAATTTTTGTCCAGTTATCTGTACGAATGAATACATTTGAGACATTATTATACTTTAACTGCCAATGAATATGAGTCTTGGAAACACTAATCGATTGGAAAGTTCCCATTCTTATAATTTACATAATAAAGTGGTAATACCATCAATGCTACTGAGTAGTGGAAGCACTAAAGATACTTTCTTCACGCTTTTTATCTTGCTGCTAACATCCGTAGCCACATACTATATATCCGATCGTTAGTTGCATCAGCAGCTATCCACGAATATAAATTTTCAATCATTAAAGCGCTGCAATAGATAATTTTATATATGAATCATTAATAGTTGTATCTATAATATAGCTATTAAAATAGCCATTTGGCCTAACACTACCATGATAGCAATAGCACTTAAAGAGAATTTTTGCCAAGATTTTGATCGGCTACTGATATGTGTAGGTTCATCTGAGTCATTATTAGAAGTCTTTAAAGCTACTGGATCTGCTGTTGATTCGCGAAGTATGTTACTTCCTCGAAGTATGATCGATTCTATACGATCGTTAATTTTGCAAAGCTGACATTGCTTCCATGTAATTCGTCGGACGCTTGAGTAAGGATTGATTTCATTACCAGTTTGGTTATTAGTATCGGATTTTGCTTGTTCAATGTCTGAGCCATCAGCTATTTTAAAGTTCATGCTTTTACGTTCTTGATGGTGGTCATATCTGTCTTTCTGGTTTATAACTTCTTTACCATCTTTTACCTACAGTACATAGTCATAACATGCTATTATATTATTGTGTATACTTTCATATTGAATAGAAGAATGACAATTCTGAATACTAAGTTGCTTACGCTTTAGATAATCAATGAATTTAGTTTCAGTTCTGGCTCTCAGATCAATTTTAAGCTGTTTTTGTAAATCGTTAGTTTAATGGATAAAATTTTACTTTCTGTTTGATCTATTCAAAGCTATTAATGTCTAAATAGTTGTTGCTGAATTTTTCGTTCGTATACTAATCAAGTAGCATAAACAATAGTAAAGTGTGCGACTAAAATTCAAATTTTATCTCATTTAAGACAATATAATCATCTAACCACTTTTCAGCAATTCATTGATAACGAATAATACAGGAGGTTTCTATTCCTGAGGAGGTGACAATTATCTGCTTAATGTATTGATGATTCATAGTGAAAATAGAATTAGAAAAACAATCATTACTGTTATTGCTTTATTAATAGTTTATTGCCTATTTTTAATTATTTCTTATACATTGAAAAGGCCCGCTTTCGAAAAAATATTAACAAGTGCTTCATTAATTGCCGCTTTATTTTTAGTTTCAAATATTTTCGACATATAATTTAGCTTTATCAAATCTATGAGTTTAGTAGTCAAACCCATTTTTCATTCATATTTCAATTTCGAAAATAATTTTTTTGGGCATAATAACTAATTATAATCAATTGAAAAGTGGGCTTGATTTTTCCCTTAATTTGACATGTTATTATTATATCAAGTTACTCTAGTTTTTAGAATAGTTAACGAAGATAGAATTAAGAATAAGATTTCGCTTAAATTAAGAGTAACTTTCCATCCTCCCTTTTTATTTCATGTCATTATGATACTAGTAATGTCGAGGAATAAAGTGCTTAATGTTCATAAATTTTATTCTTCCGTATCCAGCCTAATGAGAGGCTATGATATGAACCTTGAAATACGTATTTTTTTAACACTTTAGCAAATCACTAGACGCCACTTGTAATGGAATTTAAATTAATCTTTACCACCATTAGCCAAGATGGCATTAAGAATAAGATTTTATTTAAATTAATAGTATCTTTTTATCCTTCCCTTTGATTTCCATGTCACTATGATAGTAAACAGCTACAGTATGAATCTTTACATATTCTAGTGATACTCTAATTAAAACCTATTCACTACATTTCGGGCACTCATCTTTACCCTTACTGGAGATGATTGAGTTCTTTGTATTTTCGACTGAAGATTGCCTTACGCCTGCAATATCGGCTGGATAATCTTACAACAGTTGAACTCTGAATAAATTCAGTAAAACTTATACTTGTGTTATTATACAAAATATAATACATTATGGTTCCCGATATGGATAAGTTAAAAAATATTTTCTTAAGAGAAACATAGCTGGTAACCTGGTAGTAAATTGCTGATTTGATCATTTATAACTTTGAAAGTGATGCATCAAGTTTATTGCAATAACTATGGTAATTAGTTCATGATACTATTAACGATTATTAATTCATGGAAATATCGATACAGTTGGTCCAAAGCGTGCAAGCTTACCGTGTAACTAGCAGAACTAACTAACGAGATAGGTGAAAGAAGATAGCTTTTATAATGTATGAAGCACAGCAGGAGGAAATCATAAATGACTAATAAGAATATGTTACTTCTATGTTAAGACAGGGCTACGATATAATTCAGCTAGATTCAAAGCGATTTCCACAGAGTATTTTGTTAAATATAAATTATACATATTTAGAGTTATGCTACAATCTAGTGGAAATTAACTTTTACTAAAAATAGACTATACCGTATTTAGAAGTAAACACTACAATAATATACTTACTACCTAGAGCAGAATAACTCCGCAAGGAAAGACAATGACGATGGACATGCTTGACATCATAAACTAAACTTTAATTTTAATGAGGGCTGATAAATTTTAGAGCTCGATACTGTAGTAAAGAGTCTTACTAGATTCTTTCTTACAAGTGGTAGATCGCTCGTGATACTGTCGAAACTAAAATTTCGTCATGTAATCAAATATATCATATTTCATTTGGCGTATTTTGGCTAGTTCCGACGGTTTCTGAAATGCTGCGATTTAACTAATCAGTCCATAAGGAGAATCTTATCACATTAATAGTTATAGGCTATAATAAATTATCATCAATTGATAAGAAATACTTCGAACATTAAATGCGAGTCCTATTATAGTAACTTCGATGGTAAACATATCCTATTTACGACCATAAGATGATACCCATATTGATTAACGACATTTTCAATTATCTAAATCGATTTACGCTTGTAGAGATTTAAAACTCATATATGCTAGCAAGCTGTTAGCACAATATATCATTAGCCTTACACTTACAGATTTCTGGCATACTAGATTACTGATAATTTAAACGTTATTGTATACTGTTTTATGTTACATACTACTTAAATAATGACAATAATTGTGATAGCTTACGAAACTCAAAAAATTAGCTGCTTTTACCCATGGACATAGATCTATTAATATTATATTAGAAATTCCAATAATTTAAGACAGACCAAAGCTTAAAATATTATAAGTAGAATTATTGCTAAGCATGAAGGCTGACCAGATTTCAGAAACAAACTTGCTTAAATTAAAATAAATTTTTTATTCGGATTAAATAGTGGAGGACAAAAAATTTCGCATATAATATAATACTGAATCTATTTAAATAGTTGTACAGTACTCAAAAGTTAAATTAAACAAATTTAACAAATTTTGAGCAAAAAAATAAATATTGCTCCTGAATAGGATGGAAAGCAATTATTGGATAAAAATTGTAAGAATTATCTTTAATACACGACCATTAGATTTTTATCTTCATATTGCAGCACTAGTAATAATTTAAACTAGTTTCAATAGAAATATGATTAAGGTGATACGGACCTTAATGTCAATGCTTCTTCTAATAATAATTAAATTATTATGATACAAGCATAGATGATTCTATTGAATATGCTAACTTATGACCGGTTTCGTACCGGTGCAGTTTACGGGATTTTAGCATACTTAAATTATGTTATATAGGTCCATTACTAGAACGCATAATCTAATGATTAAATATTATCAATATATCGAATAAAAATACCGATGTATCTGTAAAGAAATTAATTTTTGCATTCTCGTCTATAGTAAATTTAGTTGTAAAGTAATTATTTTCCACATGAAGTAAATCTATAATTCTTAAAGTAGATATATTTGAGGTAGTAAAATATTATATGATGTCAACTTAGCTTAATTGTAAACTGCAGTAGAAAATGCGTAAGTATTATTTTTATAATAGTATGGAGTCAATCTTGGCATTCTTTGGGTTCTAGATTACCAATATTAGTCTCCAAGGCTTTCAATGTACATCTCATACAAAAATTGCTAACTATAGGCAAATCAATTTTGGTTTATTATCAATATCAAGGTACTTGATAGGGTATAATGTTCCAGACTTAAATGCTTAATTGCTAGATTACTGTAATGTAAACTACGTTAGAGCAATATTTTCGTAGATGTAATGCTGCTAATAGTTCTGCTATACGTAGAGAAAAGCGTTCGATAATTTAGTAGCTTGGACAGGATAAGAGTCGAGAAGTACCTTACAGAATTCAGCAGAATCAGAGTTTCAAGGTAATCGTGCGCTACTAAATTCTTTCATTACTCAAATTCTAGTGATGACTGGGAAGTCTACTCTTCTATTGCGTTCATACTTTCAAATCATCTCAGTCTATATCTAAACTAAAATTTCAACCTCTTTCAAGTTAAGTCACGTAACTTCCAAAGTTTAATAAACAAATAAATAAATAAATAGAGGAATTCCTCCCTCAACTTGCTGTGGAACGAGATAGTGATTTATCAAAGTATTAATAAAATTAATTTAAGTTTAATTTTCTTTTTTATTTCATCCTGTCAACCATACCGTGACAATTATTATCATATCAAACGTCATTTAAATTTTTTATTACATTCGTAAACTATCCGTAATACTTAAAGTTACGAATTTGATCCAATCTTGAACACCCGATTTAGGATTAAGGTTTAGGGCTATTACTCATCTCAGTCAAAACAACTTGCAATACTAGTACATTAATACAGTAAGCCAGAATGCCTAGTTTGTATGCTTATTATGTCAATTTTTTTTTCTTTATAGTTAAAGCTTGCCTTTAAATGATCCTGAACCCCTTTTAATAGAATGGACCTCATAGTGGTATCATGCATTGTTCTTGATAAGGGTGCGGATTTTTGTTTATTTCTGGTTACTTTACTTAGAAGGTAAGCAGGTTCGATCGTCATGTAGTATAAATATTAAGATACTATGAATTTAACCGAGCGTTCGGATAATAATCAGGTTGCGTATTTTCATTCTATTTCTCCTTTGACAAATTTTTTGTTGTAGCTCTTTAACTTACATAAATTGTGAACTCTAGTTTTCAAAAGCTTCAAATGATAACAAGATTTATTTTCCATTCTTACTATCATTAATGTTAGTAAAGACTAGTTTATCTGCAGAACCACATCAATTTCTAGTACAATAAATTAGTAGCTATTATTAAGAAGTAAATCAGATAAAAACGACACTTCCATCACACTAAATGACCTAATTAAAGCTATTTCAATGCCTTTATTCTGGTCACGTAGACCATAATTTTGAAAAATTTATTTTAGTTCTAGATTAAAAATTAACTACACTAGAAAAAAGTTTTAGATATGAAGAAGCAGTTTCTTGGTGATCATCTATAACATAGCATCAGGTTGAAGGAATTTTATTGGTATGAAATATGTTATGACAATCTCGAAACGTCGCTAAAATAAAATCATGCGCCTATATGATTATCACAGGATTTAAACGTCAAATTAATGTTGGATGACAGTTGAAGAATATTTTACGGGATAGTAAAAACCATACGATCATCGAATCCTCGAGATTGAATATGATTTAGGTACATCCTGTAAGACCACTTTGAAATCATTCCTTTCCTATTATAATTATAAGATCACTGCTACACCGCAGTACTGCTTATCACTGTTTCACTATACCGTTTTGTAAAGCATTTAATATATCTTCCTATTTTAAGCTAACGAGACCATGACAGCTTAGATTTTCTTCTAGAACGGCATCAGATACGACGATAGTTAAATGGAAACCTTTGGACGGTCTACTCAAGTTGTCGATATCGTAAACCAAAGGTTTTTAAAGCCTCCAGATCAATTAGAAAAATCATAAATTTAATGTCTATCTTTCTATGCTATACATAAATTCAGTATAATAATCTCATAGAATTATTTCGATACACTGACTGTTTTAGTACAGTAGTTCCTTATGAAAAATTATCTCAATGCCATTGTTGATGAAAATACAATATATCATAATATTTTATTGTATTTTTTTATAATCATCGATCACTAGCTCCAGATTTATTTATAACATTACCATACAACGTAAGCTTAGGTCGAATAAAATTGAGCTAACCTGTAATCTATCTTTCCACACAGAGTCAGTAATTGCAGCAATCTAAATCTAGCTCAAAGTAAGAAATTTTTATTGCAGTAAAATTCAACTTTTAGCATCTCATCTTAATAGTACGGTAAAACACACCTACATTTAATAAAGGAGTGTCTGTATGCATCCATCATCAATAAGTGCTTACAGAAGGAACAAGTAAATCAAAAATAAACAGTCCTTGTTTTATAGGTGATAATCAACTTTAGGTAATACCTTATCGTATAATTACAGATAAAGTAACTAGAATTTTATTTCGCAATGATTGAAAAAATTTTTGTGTGGTAACCTGCTTATATATCGGTAAAAATTTTAAGTAATCTAAGACCCAAATAATTACGAAGATAGTACAACTTGAATTAAATAAATATGCGATTTTATACGGCAATAACCGAAGGAATAACAACGTGTGACGACTAATAACACAGTATCCCACTAGAATAGAAATCCTACTCGTCGTAATTAATCGTTTTACTTAATAGTATACATATGAAAATGCAGAATAATAATTTACATTAATCAATCCTCGTAATAACAAATTAACACGAAATCGATGCAACTATACTGTAGATGTATATTATTTAAGAGTCCGAATCTTGGAATATTTCTCGTTCTTTTTTTTCCATGCTGGTGATTGGCATGCCTTTCCCGCTACCATCCCTGACCGAATTCTCTGCCATCTGAACTAACAAATGAGATAATTTTTCACAGACTAACGCTTTATTTGCATTATGTTCCTCTATTTCTTCCATCAGCTGATGATATATCTCTATTTGCTTATCACTCACAGATTTTCTCTCAACACGAATCTTAAAGGACTTTTCGTAATTTGATACAGCATTATTGTAATTACTTTGTAGGCGATACGTATCCGCTATACTAACGTAGATGTCGGCAACAGCTATACTATCCGCTCCATCAACTTCCGAATAAATCCTCCATGAACTTTCATACATTGATAATGCATCTAAATAATTATTTAAACACTGATAGCAGTACCCTAAACAACTATATAAATATCCGACATCATAATTATAAGGAGATAATTTTAGGTAGATTTTAAGTGATAATTGATACTTCAATATTGCATCTTCATATAATTGTTGTAAACGATAGACTGATCCCATTTCGCTGTAAGTGATGGCAATAATATTACTGCTCTCATCATCTAGCTCTTTTCGTACGTTGATGCATTTCTGATACATTGAAATTGCTTCGTTAAAATGATTCTGTAATGCATAAATAGAGCCCAAATTATAATAGCACTCAGCCGCATATTGATTACTTTCATCTGATGGCAACTTTAAACTGATTTTCAAAGCTTCCTGACACATATCTGCTGCATCGTCGAATGCTTTATCAGACATATAAATGTAAGCCATATCGATATAAGTCCCAGCGACATAGCTACTATTCTTGCCGTAACAGTTTAATTGTAGCTGAAGTGATGTCTTAAGCATCATTAAAGCTTGGCTGTGCTTATCATCTAACATTGTATATATTCTAGCAATTTCATTGCGTGATTTAATGACTTGTTTATTATATTCACCATGAAATTCTGTACGAATTTTTAGTGCTTTCTGATGCATTACTAAAGCTTCCTTGTAACTTTTCATTGAATAGTAAACTCTACCAATTTTGCTGTATATTGCTGCCACATACGGATGATCTTCTCCAAACTTTCCAATAGCAATTCTTACTGCGTCATTATAAAAGGTGAGAGATTCATTAAATCTTCCTAGTGAAAAGTAAGTACTTGCTAATTTTTGGTAAGATTTTGCTATATCAGACTGATGTTCTCCTTGATTTTTCAATAGGATATTTAATGCTTTCTGATGATATCTCAAAGCGTTCCTATGCTGTAGTTTTGCTTGATATACACATCCGATATTATAATAAATATCGCCCGCGTGGCCATGATCTGTTCCTAAAATTTCGATCTGAATTTTCAAAGCCTTATAAAAAATAAGAATTGCGTCATCATATAGCTTCAAAGACTGTAGTGTAGTAGCCATACTTTTATATGTATCAGCAACGGTCAGGTTGTTCTCGCCCAATATTTTTAGATTGATATCTAGCGCCTTTTGATATCTAGTAAGTGCTTGATCGTCTTTATGTTGTAGCGAAAGAACAGAAGCTATTTTACGGTATGTTTCCGCGACATGCTTATTTTCAGATCCCAATACTTTTATTTGAATATTTAAAGCTTTATCAAGCATAAACAACGCCACTTCATATTTCCTCGTAGCTTCATATATCTCAGCAATGTTGTAATGTAATGTGGCTACCTGTAAGCTGTCTTCGCCAGATAATTTCATTTGTAGTTTTAAGCATTTATTTTGCATAACCAATGCTTCATCATAGTTTCCGACAATGTAGTAGATACTGGCAATATTATTATAGGAGTGAATAATTGGGCCATCATCTTCTGTAACAGAGTCTATCTTGTACTTTAGCCCAAGTTGGTAATCATGCAAAGCTTCATCATATTGTTCCCATACTTTCTCAAGATGGCCGTAGATATCGATACAATAGGCCATTCGCAGTTTATCATTAACCTGGTTTGCACATTGGTACGATTTACTACAAAATTCATTGGCCGTTTTATACTTATGAGAATTGAAATAAGCATAAGCAATGCGACGATACAGATCCGCTAAGTTCTGATTCACACAATCTAATTTTTGTTCGGTACTGGTAACTTTCTCAACCGCTCGATGAAATAGTATTAGTGCTTCTTTATAAAATCCAATTGCAAACTTTTCATCTCCGGCAACAGTGAGCGCCTGAACTTCGCGATTTTGACTATTACCCATTTCATAGGTCAATACAGTTATCGTCCAAGTGTTACCGGTGCATCAGGATTAAAAAATTACGAAACATGATCAAAACATACAAAAATTATTCTTGGATACGGATGCCTGCTTACATTCGACTTTCGCTCAACAACATCGCGGATTACCTTCTAGTTTCCCTGCCAAGGCTATTGTTAGTATATCACCATAAATCCAAGGCTACCTTTAAAAACTCCTTCTATCAGGCAAATTTTCTTGCAAGAATGTTATTATCGTTTCTAGTATACAAGCGTACGGCAATTATTTTTTTAATAAAATTTTATAAAACCTAAACAGTATGAGGCCTATAACGGACACAGGGGTTTGCCCGATTATAATTTCCATTGTGCTATTACACTACATAACGGTAATATCCTTTTGTTGTTATACAATTAGGAACAAATATGGAGGAGACATGGCCTTAAGCCATTGAATTAAGGCTATATTCACGTGATTATTAGTCTACTGTACGAAAGCCTATCATGGAGATTAATGAGAATAGGAAATTTTGCTGGATTGACTTTATCTCTCATGAGGATTTCAAACTAATGTGGAAAACTGCCAGCTGTCCTCCGGTAAGAGCGGAAATGTACGCTTTGTTGCAATTTCCAGTAGCCCGTATGAGGTCTGCGTTGCCCATTAATTACGCTAACAAACTTCTAACTTGTTACCGCGAAGTTAGTACTATAACAAGGGGCATTTAATTTTCATGAACATTAATTCATGGCTGAAATGACGTATGCATACCATCGATTATCCGACAATCGAATTGCGTTGATAACTATATAAAGCAGACAGACAGGAAGCCGCAATAAAATGCATTCCTTTAGATCTTTATCATCGGCCTAATATGAAATAAATCTACACAATCACATAAACTACTTCGTTATGCTATTTCGTAAAATAAACTGGGAGATGATCAGATTGAGCGTAATATACGATGCTAATTATATTAAAATCAGCAAACTGAATTTAGCTTTTAAAAATAGATTTCAAAAATAAACCTAAAGTCATACAATTAATTCAGCGATGTTTACCATACTACTTGTAAAGATGCAATAATACTATATGTATTATTAATTAATTATCAATGATGCTAACGACATTACTGTATAGTAGAGTATATGTACGTTTATATTCACTCTATACTTCATATAATTAATTTAACGGCTATTCTAAAAATAAATAAAGATGCAATATTTCGGTACATTTCTCTAATTTGGATGCCCTCTAGACTGGATTCGAGAAATAATTTGCAATTCCTTCTAAATATGTATAAATAGGGGAAATTTATGACTTGATGTTAAACTTGCCAAATTCAATTACTCAAAACCGCTGTTTTTTTCTATAGTACTGTAAAACACGATAGGGGCTATTGAACCATTTTGTTACCTAATTCAGAACAGTACTATACAGTAACTAACGTAAAGTATAATACTGTAGAATATATAGGCTTAATTATAATTACTAATCAGTCCAATATTCCTGTTCGTATAATGCATAGCTTGTTATGAGTACATCTACTACTACGCGTAAATGATAATTTAAGCACTACAATTAAAATATTCATTGCTATTTATTACCGCTTCGTTGAACTTTGTGTGATACTGCAATTTTGGGTATTATTTAGTGACTGTGAAGTGCGACATCTCTGTCGATGAACCGACAGGATGTTAAACTAATATTTCATTAAAATCAAGACACTAATGATAAAATTATTGCTAAGATCATTGAGATGAACTCTTCTTCGGCTCCAGCAAAGCTTACAGTAATAACTTATTTTAGTATCTGGTATGATGGCATTAGTTACCATTTATTGGTAATTCATTAGTAAAGGCCTTGAAGAAATAATTATCTGCGATGTTAGTTTCCGATACCTACAAAGCAAATGTCTCATTCATTAATTACATGCTTGAAATCTTCAGCTTTAGTAGCATTCGTCAGCAATGTTACAGCTACATAGAACTTATAAAGATACTTCGATTTGTAAACTACATTACTGCTAAATAGGACTTACGCTGATACATATTATAATAGATTAAAAATCTATGGTACTTTAACTCTAATCTACTATAAAAGTAATTTGTTACAAATGAATAATTTGTAGATTTACAGCGACACTTGAGAAAATCTGTCGATTAGATATCTATTAACAATCGGCGCAGTGATAAAATGGTAAAAATTTATAAAAATGTTGACAACTAATACTAATTACTATACTTGCAATATTGAAGATATAGATTGGCAAAAGCAAGTTTTAAAAGTCAGCTCAAATGCACGTTAATTTTGGCAATAGAAGATAGTATTCTGTACTTGCCGAAGCTGCGGTATGTATAAGAAAGTGTACGGTAATTAAAGAGTTACAGGTAATAAGTTTTAAATTTAATAAAATTCCTCTAATATTATCATGACATGGCGTGATTACTAATTTTATTATAATTTTCTATCTTAAAATTCCAACTTTGGCTGATCATCTTCGTTCCCTTCTTCATGTGTTGATGGTTGAATAATTGCAGTTAGCTTACTGCCGTCGATATTGAAAGAATGTTGGAGCAATTTCTGTATTTCATAACTTAAAGCGGAAAATTTGTCACATACAGCAGATTCATCAAAGTTACCGATTCCTGACTCTGACTCTTTCAGCAGGCTGTTGTATGCCTCAATCTCTTTATTTTTCAGAGATTCCACTTCCATCCAAATGCTAAATGTTGTTTTATAATTCGATATGGCGTCGACATATTTACTTTGTAATCGATAAACATCTGCCATACTACAATATATTTTAGCGACAGCTAGACTATTTTTGCCATCGAGTTCCAAGTAAACTTTTAGTGCATTTTCGTACATTGATAACGCATCGACGTATTTATTTAAACACTGATAACAACTTGCTATACATTGATATAAAACTCCAACTTCACGACTGTTTGATGATAGCTCTTTCTGAATTTTAAGCGATATCTGATACATTGATAGTGCATCATTGCATAATTTTTGTGAACGGTAAACAGATGCAATTTCGCTGTAAGTCATGGCGACGATACTACTACTCTCGTCGTTTGATTCTTTCCTGATGTCGATAGATTTCTTATACATTGTTAACGATTCTTCATATCGATTTTGTAGTGCATAGATGGAACCAAGATTATAATAGCAATCTCCTACTTTTGGGCTATTTTCGTTATTCTGCAAGTTCTGGCTGATTTCTAATGCTTCTTGGTACACAGCTACAGCTTCGTCATAATCTTTATCGGCAATATAAAGGCTAGCCATATTGATATATGTAGCTGCCACAGAACTGTTATTCCTACCGTAAAATTTTAGCTGTAATTGGAGACATGCATCAAGCATAGATAGAGCATCTTCATGTCGATCATCGAGCATGGTATAGGCCTTGGCTAGTTCGCTATACGATTTAGCTACCCATTTATCATTCTCTCCGAGTATTCCAATCCGAATTTTTAACCCTTTCTGATGTAAAGATAGGGCATCCTTATACTTTTTTAACATATGATAGACTTTACCCATTTTATAATAGAGCGTTGCAATATGAAGATCATCTTCCCCGCATTCGCCAATAAGGATGTTAACAGCCTTAGTATACATAGTTAGAGCTTCGCTGAATCTTTTAAGCGAAAAATAAGTGCTCCCCAATTTCTGATAACATTTAGCAACATTAGAGCTTTTCTCTCCATAAATCTCAAGTAAAATTTTCAATGCTTTTTGATGATAATGCAAAGCATCATTATACTGATGTTGTGCTTGATATGCGGATGCAATGTTGTGATAGATACCACCGGTTAGGCTATGGTGTTCTCCTAAAATTTCTAGTTGAATCTTCAATGCTTTATAAAATAAGCAATTAGCATCATCATATCTCATCTGTGTGTAATACAATTTTCCGATATTTTTGTACGTCGCTGCGACCCGCAAATGATTTTCTCCCAATATTTTTAAATCAATACTTAGTGATTTATGGAACATTGCTAAAGCTTCATCGTGTTTATGTTGTAAATAAAGTACCGAACCCATTTTACTGTAGGTTAAAGCAACATGCTTATTATTGGATCCTAATACTTTCAGTTGAATCTTTAATGCTTTATTAAACATTAGGAGTGCTTCATCAAGACTGTTAAGCATTTCCATGAGATATCCAATATTGCTATTTAAAGTTGCGACGTGCAAACAATTTTCACCCGTCAACTTTACTTGTAACTTTAAGCACTTCTTTTCCATGATTAATGCTTCACTTAGATTTCCAGTTAAGGAATAAATTCCAGCTATATTATTGTATGAATGAATAATATTGCCATTATCTTCTCCTACAGATTCAATCTTGTACTTTAATGCCATTTGATAATCATGTAATGCTTCCTCGTACTGATCCCAGATCTTTTTAATATGCCCGTAAATATCCATACAGTGAGCCATGGATAGTTTGTTATCAATTAGACTGGCACAATTGTAAGATTTATCACAAAATTCATTTGCTTCTTTGTACTGATGAGTATTCAAGTACGTATAGGCAATTCGACGGTATAAATTAGATAAATCCTGGTTGATATATTTGTCTTTAAACTCCATATCAGGAAATTTCTCGACGGCCTGAGAAAATAATGAAAGCGCTTCTTTGTAATATCCAATAGAAAATTTTTCATCACCTTGAGAAGTTAGCGTTCTTATCTCTCGATTAAGGCTATTACCCATCTTTAATGAGGCCTTTTCAATCTTATTTCAACAATTTAGTATTACGGTACATATACTGTACTAAAGGAAATGATCTCTTTGCCACTTATCCGGAAATGAAACTCATATTATACCGCAAGCAACCAATCACATTAGTTATCGCCGAATACTGGAGTCGATAGCTCTACGCTAAAAAGCTGCTAAACACGCGTTCGCTTAGGACACAAATCGGGCTAGAAAATTGCCACGACGAGTTTTATTGTTTTTTAGGTAGGTACAGACGTACAGTAATCGTTTCGATAAAATTTACAACCAAAATCGATTCTAGTGTTATTGAATTAAACAACTATTAAGTGTAAAACACCAGCCAAAGAGGTGGAGCAAATAGTTAGCACGAAATTTTCCAAGTGAATTATAATCTAATCGGATAAAATATTACTCCAAGAGTTTTCCTGTACCGCAACTGTAATCTTCAAACTTCCAAACAGCTACATATAAAACGATCGACAAGGTTAAAAGCCGATTACAAAGCAAAGTAAATGTTTCTGAGAAAAATAATTACAATATTGATATTGGTATGATATGCCGAATCACTGTATGAGACTATATGGTTTACGCTACTATAAATAAGCATTTTTGACTTATATTGTCCAGCCACTTTACTTCGGAATGTTATAGAGGCTCTTATTTTGGTACTATTAATCATCAATAATTCATACGTAGTAGTAACAGTGCTAATTAGATAGGCCGTATGCCATGTGATGAATTCTCCCAATTAGCTTTCTTATTGCTTTTCCAATATAATAGGTGAATGCCTGAAGTAAAGTAAATAACAAACCAACCATTTGAATGCTACCCCTAGGTTGTTGACCTTTACCAGCCCTTTACATCTTCTAATCTTCTATACTTTTATAAGTAATTATCTCTACTATCCTGCAATACAGCCAACAGATATCGATGAAACAATAGTCTTATTTAATATAGAAAAATGAGAGTTAAATAAGTCGTTAAAATTTTCAAGGTACGAATATACGCGAGTTGTAGATTACATCACCCATTGGAAGGATTTTTTCGATAGTACTGTTATGAATTATAGTATAAAGTGCGCTTTAATTTATTCTTGCATTTTTATAGTACGAAGTTAAGGAAATAAACGTGATGAGTTTTTGTTGTAAATCTTTGATCGATTACTTAAGCTACATTTAATTTGGAATTAATCAAGCGTCGTTATTTATTAAATGACTAAGTCCTTTACTATAAATGTTTCATTATTACTTCGAAACTGGAAGCAACTTCTTTAAACCTGAAATTGAGTTCCTGCATTAAGCAGAAGTCAGACAAACTATACTTCTTCTAGGCAATACATTCATTAGAGGAGTTTACTCTTATGTATCTTGTAAAGAGTAATAATGTACTTTCACTTATACGGACCATTTTCGGCAAAGGCTGAATTCGAATGATTTTTCTTCATTCTTAAATACAGTATTGCTGTAGTCACAGAAGGATTTATAATAACTTATTAAAGTAACCTAAGATAGCTATCGCTTCAAATAACCCAAGTCAACCTCTTAAGTTAAACTATATTTGGTATTACCAAATGCGCTTTTAACATTTAAAATGCTGCGGTAAAAAGTATCAACGACTATAGCCAGTCAAAGATAAAAACTCGAGGTTTTAAACTAGTGCGCAGATTATAATTATAAATCACTTACATATGCATTTACCTAAGCTATTAACTTATTTGCATAGTAAAATGCAGTACTAAGGGGCATTACTATAAAATACTTCAATCCGAAATACTGTTGATATTGTAATTACATAAGTTCATCCTCACAGAATGCACTAGTATAAGCCTGCATCATTCCCAATGTCTCCATTCGTCGAAAAGTTATAGTTTAAAGTCGATTTTACTATTAACTAATAAGTTTGTATCGATGTAGCTTATTAAAACTTATTAATGTCGACTATTCTGTAGTTGAATTTCATTTGGCTACCAGTACAGTAGTCATAGTATACTATTCTAATAGGCCCACTTGCTGCATGATGATATCAATAAAATAAGTGAGATTGTCTTACTAGTGCGTTGTTATGGAATGAGAAAGACTTTCTAGAGCAATGGTCGATTCTTCTAACATCGTATGGGTAAATAAGTGTGGAGCATACTCAGAATAAGTTTAAGTTTATATGAAGCAATGCGGTACTGATCATAGGCATATTATAATAGTAACTTTGAAATAAGCATGCAGTAAACGCTGATAAATAATAATGTTTGAGATAAAAATATTTGTTTCAATTATGCATTTAAAATATAGATTTACTATTGCTCGCTACCGAATGAGTAACTTCTGATGAATCGGCTAGATGCCTTAGAAGGTCAGATATTGTGTAAGTTGGTTTCGTAATGTGCGGCCATCAAGACATTATATCGTTTTTGTTCATTGTCAATCGTGAAACGAATTTGTATAAACAGCATCATTTTAGCTCAGCACTCTAGGTCAAGCTAGCTTATCTAAAGACTTTCCATAACTCTTTCCGTTGCAAATAATGAATTCTCAAAATTGTGCCATGCTAAATAATTTTGAATACGTGTCGATTAAGTTCGTTATATCTAACGTAATATAACATAAATTTCAATTAGCAAGGATTTATTAAGAGGGAAACAGTAATTTTGTATGTTGATATATGTGCTATTTAGTATAATATTTACGACTATAAGTAATTAACTATTTTGTATTTAACTAATTAATTGCGATTATGCCACTCAATATGAAATCGATACAGCGATTGTATATTAATGTACAGCAGCAGACCACCAAATATATATTTTATAGTATATCATCGGTACAAAGCAGAATACTAAACATTTGGTCAATATGCCTAACTTAGCCAATCATATCTTTCATGCATTAATTAACTTGACTTCCACTTACTGTAAGACATCGTTACCGACAGTAATGGTAACAGAATTTAATTATATACTGGATCAAATGTGCATTAGCATGACTTATTCTTCCCATATATAGCTAGTGTATCTATGGTAGGTAGCTGAAACCGGCGCAAATTTAATGCTCAAAAGTTGGATATACAGTTGCGTCCTTTACTGAGTGAACGATTATGTATTTATGTAATGAAATTCTTAATTAACTAGGTAATATTCAAATCGAATGAGGATGCTCTTCTATTACTGCTAATTACTTCTAACGTAACAATTCTATTCTCTGGCATAACTAGGCGCGATCAGGTACGGTACTTAAGCAGTATTCGATAGTAAATAATAAGTACTAACAGCGATGATACACATAAGTTCTATGTTCACATTAAAGTTTGTTGCGAACCATTTTATTGAGTTTATACTATAAATGAACTAGCTATGAAATAAATGTCTAGTTTACCATTGCCATGTAGGTATAAAAACTATTAATGAAAGGTAGACTGAGTATAATAGCTGAAAGGGTTTTCGGCTTGTCAACCGTAATGCCAAAAACTTGTTACTAAATTTCATTCGTCTAAATTCTTGCTTCCATTTTAATTCATGACACTTTAACAAGAGCTGAATTATATCATTAATGAAGTAGCATCTGAATGCCTTGATCACATGCTTCTTAATAGTATGTTAGCATCAATCTTTATTGACTTGCAGCTTCAAGACTAAAAATATCTAGTAATTCGCTGAATAAATTTAATCCTGTAACAAACCATATTAAACTATCTAGTGTACTCCATCTTTCAGTCCTTTGAAAATAGCCAACCTTAGAAATGTGTTTGTGCCTTGTTAAGTTGATCAACGCGTAGAGTGGCCGTATCCAATGAATACCAGTGAAATTCAACCTGAACATGCAAAAGGTAACTGGAGCAAAAAGTCACCGTGAGTATTACCTTCGAACAAATTTTAGTTAGAACGATGAATGAATCAAAATTCAATCGTATTTGTATCTAAATTGTATAATATGACACTTAATATGGTCACCTGAATGATGAAAAACTTGAAGGAGATGCTGCCAATGATCAGGTGATCCAAGACACTATTACATTTTGAGTTATGCATATAATATAGATTATTATTATACTGCACATCTTGTCATATCCATTAACCTAATGTCTAAACATTATAAAAAATACGTGTACTTAACCTTTACAGTATAGCAATCAAATCGAAATTTTCTCAGGAATAGCAGAGGTACTCACCTACGTTAGAAAACACTAGCTTAATCAAAATAAAAAATTTTCTTGTCGAATTTCTGTTTGTGATATGCCAGATGATTGAAAACGCTACGTCAACTGCTGTTAAACTCCAATGGCTCAGTAATGCGCGGTAACTAATACATAATTTAGCATTTTGATCGTTTGATTACTTATTATGTAATAGTAAAATACATCTCGCACTACTGCATTAGCAATCATAAATGTTGGATTAAACTTAATTTTTGCCTCATCTAAACCGTTCATAATGTTGGTTTAATACAGAGCTTTCCTCGAAATTGGTTTACCCAGTTCAATGTATTTCGCTATAAGGTATTTTGAGAAGGCTTCTCATATATCGATAACACAACTTTAAATTTGCAATAATTACGCTCATAAAAATCTTTAATTGATATTTTAGGTCGTCCTTAGTTATTGAATTAGTGGAACTAGCTAGAGATTATGAGTGGCCAGTTGTGGATGAGTACGTGCAATGTTGTTACGAAGCTAGCTGAATAATTTACTACCAGTGCATATTTTAAATAACTAGCTTTTAATAAAGTTACCATAATTAATAGCTTTAATTATGATGAAGGATCAGAATGCAAGAGGACGTATGCTCCTGTCTTTTAATATTTTCGACTATAGAAACAGAGCAACTAAAGGCTCTGACTCAAGCCGGTACGTAAAATTAGTATTGATTTCAATTATCACTCCTCTTTCCATGATTGATTCGTTGCAATTATGCAGTATTAAAACGTCCTGCAAGCTGTCTTATACGTACAATAACTTCTCATACTGCAACTTACAATTTTAAAATTCTGCCCATTAGGTGCCATACCATTACTAATTAATCTGACATCCTCAGCCATCACTGAAGTGTCGCAAAAGGCTACACAGGCTTTAATAAATATTATTCGTTAGTGTCGAATCGTAAATATACGAAATAAATAAATTGCACTACTTACGAATGGTTCATTTGTTTTAATAATTCACTTAGAGAACGGAAGTCGATTTCGCAATCTAGCTTTGGGTAGCAATTTACTGCCTACTATTCAGGCAGTTTACTTTTTAGATCTTCCGGTAAACTCGTTGGAATCTACCTTCGTTGCTAAGTAAAAAATATTAAGGCTTTCGTCTAACCGAAAATTTCTCACGTCACCTTGATCTAGATAGGACAGATGTGTCTAATATCAAAACTGATATTAGTTTTATGTCAAGACTTAAGTCCTGCAATGACTTCCAAATATTTTAATGAAGTAATAACTTCGAAACGTGATAACGTTATAAAATCTTTTAGTTACTTTGCTAATAGGATAATAAATAAAAGCTCAATTCCTTATCATCAAGGAATGTTATGTCGCAATGTTGGGTTGAGTTGTAATTATGATCATATCATTCCTTTTGCAGCTATTAAACATAATAACTAAACTCATTTATCAAGATGATATAGAGGTTTGCATTAACTGTAGTTACAGATGTTGAAATAGGAATAAAACATTGAGATTTTTTTCCAATATTATGATTTACTAATGCTGTATCGTAGGTTCTATTAACAAGTTGTTGGGCGTTAACATTCATCACATGTGATCTAAATGATGAATTAAAAGTAAGTACCATACGAACTTAATCCTATTTTTATGACATTTAATGCAATTTTCCTATCAAGATAAATTTTATCTTTCATAGGGTGCAATAATATTTTAACACTGCATCAGTATAACATCGAATGATTTCATTTAGTGGGAACATGCTCGTATTTATACATTTAGGCTATTCAAGATTCTAAAATTATTCCTCGACTGATAGCATTAATTTCCGCAACATCTTTACCCTTGAAGGTTTGTATAGTATTACCAAGCTTAAATAACTCCTAGACCTAAATCTGTGAAAATATAAAGTTTTAGAAAGGCGTAAATAGTCTAATAGAAAATATAAATGTATACTGCGTTTGAAGTAATAATGCGAACCCGATATAGATCACTATCGTAGGTTACATATATCATATTGTGTTTCCTTAACAAGCCAAAATTAATAAGAAGTGGATGATCTTGTCATATTTTTTTTGATGCACTTCATCAAATATTTAATAATTCTATGCACCTTTAATATTAATGATGATTTTTAGAAGATTTTAATTCGATTAATTGATAACATAACAATGGGAGATGAACCGGTCGCTAAGGTAAAAAGTGCAAATCTCAATAGATTGACGATAGTGAATAAGGAGGTTTAAGCTGACTTTCTTAGCTATTCGATTTATTGACTATTGTCCGTATTATTTCAGCTATTTATAAAACTGAACGGTTTAAACTATTTAAGAGGGTACATTCAAGACAGCTCGCTGAAGAAAGTCAGTTTGGTCTTGACTCTTTACATAAAAAATGCACTTATATTAATTGCCATCAATTTATAAATCCTATTTAATACTCTGATAGGAAGTCATATGGTTATTATCAAACATAGCAACAACCTATCAAAATTCAGCCTCGGTATCTGATAATAATATAATTTTCATTATTTTTTTTATCGGTAGTGGAATCAAACGCGTATATTGCATTTAATTCTTTTATCATACGTCTTTTAATAACATGCTAGTAAAGATTTTCAATATCTCATCACTGCATTTATACTAATGTTAATCCACCTTATTGTAGGCGTTTTTTCACTCAGGAATTGTGCAATTATGGATTGAAATATTTTCAGACGTAAGTTTTATAGTCGTAGTATTGAGCAATTTTCAGCCTTTCCAATATAATTATATCATACAATAATAGTAACCTGAAATAGTGTAATTTACAGTGCTTTGCTAATTAATACGCATTTACTAAATAATACTGCGAGATATATTATGTTATTATCATGCAATGAATAATATCTTCGTATTTCCTTAATGAACTTAAGCTCGATCACGCCACCAAAATTGAGGTCCTGGAAGCAATATCCGCTCTCACCTTACATAGTAACCCAGAGGAGGTACGTCATTTTATTAAGAAATTAATGTAGATTTTCTAAGAATATCTCCGCAACTGATCTCTTACACATAAATTTGCAGAAGAGCCATTTAATGGAATGCAACATTATCCCTTTATTACAGACGGCATTAATAGAAGATAGTTTAGAGGTGTGCAATCTGTCTTTACCCATTTTTATTACAGTAATGGCATTATGCACTTTATGTGTTGATATTAATTGGATTATTGTAACTTTTATAGTTATTAATACCTGCTTTAACTATTATGAGAGGCTTATTTCAAGTAGGTCACTAAAATTAAAATTAGTATTTCAATTGCTATGGTAGTGAGAATGAATACTGCAATAGGAATATCTTACGATAATAACTTAAATTTTAATGTTTCTTTTAAGTTTTTCTTAAGCGATGTGCAACTTATAAATTAATGATTTACTCAGCAGATTCCAGTCAAGGAGCCGCTAATAGCTGAATTAGATCGATGTAAAGGTACTAAAATAAGTAATAACTTAGCCGTCTACTTTTTGTTTAATGCCTGATACACGTATGTCTTGGATTATGCAGCGAAAGAATACATAGAAATTTTGCAAAAGCATCAAGATCGTGACGTTCAAAGACTTTCAAAATCGATTATAAGGAAGCTGACCATACGTCTAAGCTCAGATATTTCACAGAAATAGAATAAATTTTTCCGTTCAAAAAATTTTTTAATTTATTTATGAGACGGCCAAAAGGAAGGCAATAGAGACCACTTTAATCATTCTAAGCTACTCTGAACTAATTTTAAGAATAACGTAAATATTCAAAGACATATGGTAGTCATTTGGCTATCTAAAATAGGTAACATTGGTAGATAATTTGGTATTGCACTGTAGCTCTGTGTCTAAGAGCGAAATACTTTCAAATGAAAGTAACGCTATCTTGTAATTCCGCTTTCAATCGCTACATGCTTAAGAGATGCCTAACTGAGCCCATCTTATCAAGAATTAATACAACAAAGTCAAAAGAAATCTTTGACTAACATAAAGAATAACCTGGTACTTGAACAAGATTATCGATTAACTGCTGGGATCTGAAGCATTAATGTATTATTTAAGATGAATCAGGAAGCGTAACATTATGATACTGAAAAAAATGAAATTTATCTTGCTATTCAAAAGCAATCTTTCGCTTTATTCTAATTAAAATATTTAATTTACTGAAACCCAATGCAATATTAGTTCATTATTTTATAGCGAGATTGAACTGCTCTTTGATAGACATTAAATACTCAACAAGAGAATTTAAGCTCGCATAGACCGGCAGAGTTCTTTAAGGGAATATCGAGTTGGTCTTGACTTTGACTTTGTAGAATGAAGTTTATCTTCTCTTTGGAACGATCCATTAAATGAGTGAAGCCTTTATAACTATATTAAACAACGATGTCCTCAATACCTTTGAGTGTATTTCATTATAACGAAACTCATGGTCTCAGTAGCATACCAACGGTACCAATGATCGTAACAATTCTTATTTAGCAATCTTACAATCATGAGCGTCATTTACCAGTCGGGTCGTATTCTAGGTGATGAAGGTGAAGGGTCTCACTAATATTTGAAATATCACGTTTGACCTTGACTTTCCCTTTGTAGAATAACGCTTATCTTCTCTTTAGAATGACCTACCAGCTGACTAATAGACCTTTAGAAATGTCTTGGTAATATCCTCGATATCTCTAAATAACTTTCATTACATTACGCATGAGAACTGTTTATGAGGTGGCCCACTTATGGTCTCAAATGTAGACTAACAGTAGATATGGTTATAGTATTTCATTCTTGAACAATAATATCGTTCGTATAATCATGAGCATCATTTAACCGCAGGATTATATACTTGTTGATGACAGTGGAGCCATTTTTACTATAGTGTTAGTATGATGAAAGTTGGGATGACATCCTCAATTGAGTACAGACTACACGTGTCACTGTCAAGTTGCTTATCTGATGCGTGAATTAAGGCGTCAGCCTTTTCCCTCAGTCATACTTGAACGTCAATCTTTACACCAGTGAAATGTGACTTTATTGTACCCTATAGAAAATCCCATACAAGACTACTTTGATGGCTGTTCATTGACTTGCAATTAATTTATTCTGTGAGCGCAAATTTGATCTTCAGTTAAAATTTCCCAAAATCATTTTATCTTTGCTGCCAGGGAGTGTTTCTGCTACTGATTTATTGCATAAGGTATGTACTAATATATTAATACAAGAATTTACCTAAACTATAAATTATGATAATATCATCTAAGCCGAATATTCACGTATTAAATTAATTTTACTGGTTTTTACCAATAAATGGCCTACACTGATAATTAATCAGGTGTTAAAGACACGTCAGATCGAGTACAAACATGGCGTCGTTAAAAATTGTAAGTTTTACTTGTCATTTGTGAGGGAAAACAAGTTTTCGTGAATGACTCTTCTGTGAATTCTTGAATATGGTACTTTCCATCACTTAAAATACTCTCTATGTCATCTGCAGATGTGTGACCGAATTAAGCAGTTGGATGAAAATGCTATCGAATATTTCTTTGATTTATGGTAATTAAAAATTGCTAAGGTTGTTATAAAAAATTAATTCTGTGGCACTAAACTTTCGGAGCATTAATAATAAAATTTTTTTGCGATTATTATGTTAGAATTATATGCAATAAGAACTTGTATTAATTTGTTCTATTTACTGTCAATTAGCCACTATCTTATGTCACTACCAGCTGAAGTGCTAGCAGATCTTATATTTGGGTATATTAGTATATTAAAGATTGATTTCACTGAAATAGATGCAGTATTTGCTTTCGTTAAGTCATAGTAAAACAAAAACTTCATGTATATTATGTACATTTAAATAGAGAACTACATTACTTGGTAGATTTATTGCATTGGAGTGTCAATACAAATAGGTAAGATTCCTTTAATTCATTAGCACCATTACTATCCAACCCTATATTCGTGACTGATACAAAATTTTTCAATACTACATCATGCCCAGTTATAGCGTCCAAAAAGCAATATTAGAAATTTTGGCTAAATTTAGTACAGGTTCAAGACAAAGCGGGATCATATTGCAAGAAATGCGTAATTACGATTTGACTTACACCCATATGCCGTAATTTAATGCGATTCGTGACTTTAGCTTTCTAAATTTAGTTTAATTAGTAAAAGATTCATAATTTGCATAAAAAAGTTTAAATATACTATTCCTCTATCCATAGATGCTCTAGACTGGATGTTTCATTTAATGCTTTCACAATATGACGTTATTGCTGATGATACATTTGCTTTGGTGAGAAACGTTGTCAAACAAAACTTGAAATGGTAATTTGTATTATTTGTATTATTGATAATTTAAAGAAAATCTAGGATGTTACGGTTGCAACGGAATATCTCATTTTGAATCTAAATTTATGCTATGTATAGAAGCACCATATGCGAAGACACTATCAAAAACCATTGCTCACATAGCTTTAGCGGCTCTGAAACATGTTTCCAATACTGTGCTGATAAATGTTAACTATAAATTTAATGAATTCAATCAATAGGGAATTTATATTACAAAAGATGCGAAATGTATTATAAGTAATATAAAATGATGAGTTGGTGGCTATTCTATGAGCGGAGTTCACTTCGATTTTCCCCTACAACTAATATTTAAATATAATGCAGAAAAGGATAAATAATTATAGTCGTTTATTAATTCATAAAATAGATACTTCAATTACGTTTTGACTATCGTAAAATTGATACGGAAATAAAGCTAAATAGAACGTAGCAATAGCTGATCAAACTATATTGCCAGGGCAGTTTTGATTTGCTTTATAAAGATTCACTAAAGTTGTATAATTTAAAAATTACTGAAAAAAGAAGTAATAAATTTGATGAATTTGTTAATAAAATGCTTTTTTTTAAAATACATTAATTCAGCATTAACATACGATACGTCTCAAAAATGAAGTGATCATTATCACTATTGTCGAGCCGGATATGACATACAGAGTGATCAAATAAATAAAAAATGACTGGTAGGTCTTAGATAAATACAGATATGATGATATTTACTTCCATAAAAGTATCACGGTCCAAAATGGAGCCTACTCTCTAATACAGAATATTACATGACACTGCAATTCCGACGAGAGCGGCCAGCCATGGTATGCACCATACGCAATGACTGAGCAACTTCCGGACTAAGTATGCCAGCAAGATTTCTTCTAATACTTAGACATCTTTTATGATAATACAGAGCCGAATCAAATTCATCAAGAGCCATATACGTATTACCAAGGCAATAATACGTAGTAGCAACTTGTAAATTTTCCTCTCCTAAGTTCTCTATTTGAATGTTTAAGCATTCTTCAAACAATACGCCAGCTTCGTGATATTTGCCTATCGAAAAGTACACTCCTGCTATAATATTGCAAGTTTCAGAAATAGCTAAATCGCTCTCTTCTAATAAATCTAGCTGAATATTTAAGCACTTTTTGTACATAGCTAATGCATTTTCACAATCTTCTTTAGACATATAGACATCTCCCATATTGCTGTAGCACTTTGCAATATTTAAGTGATGATTTCCAAATAACTTTAAATTAATGTTTAAAGCCTTGTTAAAGCAATCCAAAGCTTCATCAAATTTAAAATTGGCGTAGCAGGCTAATCCAATATCATTATAAATAATACCAACATTTAATGACTCTTGCCCTTCTTTATCTATATATAAATGCAGTTCTTTTTGGTAGGCTTTAACAGCTTCTTCGTAATTGTTCTCCAATTCGTAAATATTGCCTATAGAATTATGGGCCTTTGCAACAGCAATTGGGTCGACCTCTTTACGATTTAATTCAAAGGTCAGGTAACTGTTGAACATGGACAACGCATCATCATATTGTGTCAACGAGCGATAAAGATTGCCTATCCTTTCATATAACACAGATAAGCTTTCATCATATTCTTTGGTCGATTTTTGTCTTATTTCTAGACTTTTTAAAAGCTCAATTACCGCTTCACTGGATTTACCTTGTAATTCTAAAATTGTAGCAATTCTTTCATATAAATCCGAAGTTTCGATGGGATTTTCTGATAGCGACCTTAGTCGAATATCCAAGGCTTTACGAAAATATGTTAAAGCGTCAAAGTAGTTTTCCTGTGACTGATATATGATTCCAATATTATTATATGTAGTAGCAATTACAAAGCTACTTTCATCTAAACATTCAAGCTCTATATCTAAACATTTCTGCTGCATCTCCGTTGCGTCGTCGAAATTACCTTGTGAATTATAGATCATACCAATTTTCTTATACAAAGTAGCAACTTTCAAGTTATCACATCCAAACAATTTCTTTCGAATATCTAAGGCCTTAAAGCTCATAGACAGTGCCAGATCATATTTACCTTGGGACTCATACATTGCAGAAATGTTTTGAAACGAGATAGCTACATCTTCATTGTTCTCTTTAACTAAATCTTGCTGGATGCTAAGACATTTTTGCTGCATTTCTATAGCATCGTCAATTTTGTCTTGAGAGTAGTAAACTAACGCAAGATCTCCGTACGACGAAGCAACATTTAGGCTGCTTTCTCCTAAAATGTCTAGCTCAACTTTTAAGCATTTTTGATACATAAGTAAAGCATCAGCATAATTTTCTTTATAATTAAGAATAGTTCCAACGTTACTATAAGAACCAGCGGTCAATAAATGGTTATCACCTAAAGTTTCACGTCGAATATTTAATGCTCTCTCTTGCAGAGATAAAGCTTTGTCGTAGTTACCCTGCAGATTGTACACAAGACCAATATTATTATAACAGGATGCTGCCTCCAAGCTATTCTCTCCTAATATTTCCGATACTGTTTTCAGCGATTTATTAAGATTCAATGAAGCATCCTCATAATTATCCATTCGTAAGTGAGCATGACCGATTCCATTAAGCGTTTTGGCAACATAAATATTATCTTCACCTATTAAATCTGTCTGAATTCTTAGACACTTTTCAAACCAGGTCTTAGCATCGTTATATTTGCCTTTTGATCGATATACGATTCCCATGTTATAATACGATTCTGCTACTTCCATACTATTTTCGCCAATAATGTTCAACTTTATTTGTATCGAATTCTGATGCATATCGATTGCCTCATCATAATTGCCTTGTAAATCATATACTAATCCCAAATTATTGAATGATTCACAAACTCCTACACAATTCTCACCCACGGCGTCACGATATACCTTTAAACTTTGCTCATGTGCAAAAATGCAATCTTTGTATTTACCTTGAGAGCAATAAACCAATCCTATTTCGTTGTAAATTTTGCCTATGTTTAACTTATTAACCACCCTTACCATATCTTCACGCATAATATCTAACGATTGCTGTAAATATAACAAAGCATCGTTGTATTTTCCTTGTAATGAGTATATTCTACCGATCTGATAGTATGATATACCGATCTCAATACCATGATCATCTAATACTTCGAGTTTTGTTTTAAGAGATTGTTGATAATAATCCATTGCTTGCTGATATCGACCTTGCATTCTCTTGACATCGCCATAGATATCGTTACTTCTCGAAGTACGAAGTTTATCATGGAGTTTAACAGCAATAGAATGACAAATATCGCAATATTTTAAGGCTTGCTGATAATTATACAACTTACAGAAACAATCTGATAGGCGAATAAAGTCATCATAACGTTCCTCATCTTGAATGTTATCAGAATTGTCATTCTGATAGGCTTGAATTACCTGTTGGTATTTAATACTTGCTATCCGATAGCTTCCACGATAATATTGGAGATCGCCATCTTGACGCAGCCGGGGCAACTCGGTCATTTGATTAATTTAAACTTATTTGATTAAGTACACAACCTTTAAAACTGGCAATAGGATATCATCTAAAGTAACCAGAAAATAAGGTGAAAATAAAACGGGATCAATGTACTTCTGATAACCACTCACTCCAAATTATTTAGAATGTTGCTTTCTCTCTTATAATTTCTCTCACCATTACAACCGTCCTATAACCTTCAAATAATTACAAATAGTTCTGTTAAATTAATAGACCGTACCACGGAAAAAAATAGCTTTTAATCTATAGAAGCAGACTATAGCCATCATTAATAAAAGTATATGGTATTATAAAGGCATTACAATTCACTGCATGATCCTTTATCACTCCGTAGGCACGTGACGTTCATCATCCAATCATGACATAATCGCCATGAAAAGAGTACAGTAATAGATTCATTGCATTATTTTATCAATTTTTAATGAGATATTTAATTAAATTTATTTCTAAGCCCTAATAACCAGAAAATTAAATAACACCGGGTGAGAAAGTAAATTGAATTATAAAATACTCTGAATAAAATTACAATTTTTTAGCAAGCATTAAATTATACTTAATAAATGTCATTTGCTCACGTTTTAAGATAGAAATAGATTACCAAACGTGTCATTTAAATTTTGTTGCATTGGCAATGTAATCACGAAATAGCCAATTCGTTTTTTAAGAAAAATGTATTCGCCCATAAAAGTATGGCAAACAGATATATTTATCTCTTGTAAAGAAATAAACATTTTAAATCAATTTATTGATCTTATTTGCTGTATTTTTTTACTTTCTAATCATCTTAATAAATGCTAATACTCTATGCCTAAATGAAATTGATAGATTCCGAGTGCCAGGTAAAATAGTTTATCTACGGTAATTTTTAAAAATCTGAAATCTATTGCCTATTGATTAAGAGACAAATTGTTTACGTTGTAATTTATTCTTATCATCAATCTTAACAGTCCACGATCTTGTTTAGCAGATGCTTTACCGGATAATCAAGCACTATTGTCATAACGTGTCTTCAAAATAATAAAACAAGAATTACAATTTTCATGTAAACTTGACTTTATTGCTTTGATTACGTCCATCCTATAATTATCAAGGACTATGTAGCTGCGATCAGACTATCTATCTTCAGTCTACAACCGTCTAACTTATCACAAGATTGCTCTTCGTAATACTATTATATCTTACCAAGTTGCGAGATCAGGCTAAATTCAATGTCGTGCAATCTATTATATTTAATATATATCGCTTTCTATTAAAGTATCACAATTAAATCTTTATGATGATATGTTACGAATTGCAATCTAGTAATATCTATAGTTATAATGGATTCATAGCTGTAAAAAAGGCTGCAATTGGAGTCGCAAATATCATCTGGGAATAGATACTGGCATAATCTTACTATCAAACGCTTAATTCATCTATTTTCATACAATCCAGTAATTTAATATTAAGTTAATTTAGAGCTCCATTATAACCCTAAAAGATTTGTTACTATCTAACGGAACATAACTTCACCGGAATTTTATATACTGGTCATAAAATTCCGACCACTATAATTCTTGCACCTTTTCATTTACAATAATTTACCTATTAACATTAAATGTTACTCGTTAAGTGATGATCGCAGTAACTGACTGAAAATGATTTACATTCAATAAAATTTAAGATTTTTCGAAATGAATCCACTTGACTCTCCAGAGAAATACAGCAAATAGAATATCCAGTAAGATCATGTACGATTGTGAAATAATCTGTGACCATTTCTTAGAATTATAGCCAAAGCTTTAGAAGATATCTAAAGCAGTAATGTTTATTTAATAAAACTTTCTTTCCTATACTATTTTTCTTAAGAATTAATATGTGTTACACGTTCGGTAAAGCCAGCACAATATGTACACGTATATCTCGCTGATTAACCTTGAAAAATGTACTGCTTTCCTTCATGTCTCTTTTAGATCAATTAAACTGCTCTATTACGCTACTGAAACTGATTATCACCCCAGTCAAGAAATTCAAAAAATTCTCTCATAACCATTCGGTTTTAATTATGGTAGTTATGGATTAAAGACAACTATTGGAAGAAGAATTACTTCCAATATTTTGAGTGCAGTTTGATCTGTGAAACCTGCTGAGTAAATTCACAATGTTATGCTAGTCAATACCTGGTAGTTACTGCATTTTCACTGATCCCTGAAAAACCAATCAAATTAGCACGAACAAGCTGATGTCACCCTACTGCATATCACACATTATTTAGGTCATCCCCAACTTGTCACCACATCTAGCTCACTTACTAGTCTAATACGTATCCAAAAAGAAAATTTTACTTTAATTTATCAAGTTAATAATGATATCCTTCGTTTTACACTACGACATTTTTTGAAAAGTACCATATTCTAATTTCACGAGTGCTTGCACTCTTTCCGTAGACTGTTTCATTGGAATATTTATCCCAATTTATTACAAGACATCTTTCCGTAATCAAATTTTCCTTTGAAAAATCAGAATACGTTCTTAGATCGTGGCTATACCGATAAGCAGAAGATAATGGTGGAGTCACTAAGCGCTGTTGTCACTGACAGTTAGCGTCAGTCTCCGAAAATGTAGTATACCTGCAATTCATATATATAAATCAAACGTTTTTCTACTCGGCCTTCACTGTTACTACTCAACTCTATACAACGATAGAATATTTTACATGCAATTAAAGTCATTAGGCATAAATTGAATAATTCTCCTGATAATATCTCGGCTTTGAAAACGAATTATTATTACTATTTGAGTATTGCTAACATGTAACTAATTAAATGCTGCTTTAACGGATTTCTATTCGTTATATTTTCTGTTGAAGCGAGGCTAACCGCCTTTTTATTCTTTGAAATTTCTAGGTACAACGACTTATCTTGTTAATCTTGGGCGTTTTTTCTAATCAATCAATTATAAAATTTAATACGTGGTAATATGCTTGAAGTAAATTAGCTGAACAGAGCAATGTTAAGATTTATGAAATATCAATATTGTACTTTCAATTACTTATCCCCACGAATCGACTCAAAATCGACTCTGAGCTGAACTGCCACTCGTCCGGTCCAGTCCCGAATTTTTTGTTAACTGAACCGAACGGAGTTAGAGGATAGCTATTGGCAATATCGAAACAAGATTTATCACTCAATTTTTGATACTTCTTTTAATTTTTGGCGAAATTTCATGTTACAGAATAACAAGTTAGAGCATTTCTGCAAAAGCTGCCCTTGCTCGGTTCTGAAATTCAACATCTTCTTCTTAGACATCTCCATAAATTGGTAGTTTTACTCATAAATATCAACGGAAAATGCTACAACTAAAAAAGGTATGCCCAATTGCTTAGCATTCATGAAAAGAAGTATTTGAATTTCTTCAAAGTAAAGTAATATGATGCTGTATATATAAACATGCAGATTTGTGCAGCTATTAAAGCTGGTGAAGAATCCAGTTATGAAGAATTTTTGAATACATGGTAAGAAAAAATAATAAACATTTACGATAGTTTTATTCACTAATCATAGCAAAACAAAAATGAATAATTACAATTATTGAAACAAAATGAATTATTACAACCATTACCACTTATGGAATGAGTGCATTTATAATATAAACATGCAGTCTTAGATCATTGTAATTCTCGATATAGCCATTGATTCTAAGGTACTACTCTCATTCGTTTATTTGAAGCAAAGTTATCTTACTGTTGCCATCAGTATATCGGATATTATATTTGAAAAGGTAATGCATCATCAAAACCTAAAATAAGCATAGTTGCAAGCAGCTGGCAACCTTTTTCATACTGATAACTAAAATAATTCACTTGCTTTTTATGTATGAAGTCTATTATTACTTGTTTGATATTAAAGTTACTTAATTAAATGATAATTGCATGGCTGATTCTATTACACTGGTATTTGATGTAAACATGTATTCTATTGATTCTAGTATAATCTTTGATTTGGACGAACTACTCACTTGGACGATTTATCGAAACAGCAAAGTGTAAGTTCTTCAAAAATTACACATAATCCAAGTCATGCTGCTAACTTTAATAGGTTGGAAAATTTATTTATTTTAATTTTTAGGTATAAACTTCAGAGATCCATTTTACTACTACTAATTACGCTTGCTCGAGAAAGCAAAGATAATGGCAGTGCAATATGTACCACAAGTAAATTATAGAACTTAACATCTAGAATATGTCTTAAATAGAGCTAAACCCGTTTGCTGATATTAAAACACTTGTATTTCTGACTGACCTCAATTCAATTTCCTTGTTCATGTTCTCGATTACTAAAGCTTTTTTGGGGAAAATATCATTTTTTTCTATTCAAGATATTATTCCAAATGTGTTTTGCTTAATACAATCAAAAGATGATGATGTTGCGCGTGATGCCTATTCGTTACTACGATCACTGGACTATTCGTACGTCCTTCAACAGCTTAATACGAATAAAATTTAAGGCAATATCAACATGCACGAAGGATTACAATAAGGAAATAGCGGAAGAGCAAAATTTGTAATCCATCTTTCTAAGCGAATATCATCATATGCTAGTTATCGAATATTAACGAAGCTGAAACATTATTATAGTTTCTTATTATTTGTCCTGTTATTCGTTTAGAATTCACATTTTTGATCAAACAACTTGATTAAATAGCTACTCTGAGAATGTTTCAAATTTATATGCCTGCGTATATTAATACAAGTTTTATGGCAGCTTTTATGGTATTGTTGTCTATTTATGACAGTAGTAGAATATAAAAACGTATTCATATGGCATATAAACAATTTCATCATATAATTTAATAATAGCTTTCATTAAATAATATACCTTATTACTGGGTTCCTTTATAAATAATTAGAATTATCGAGGATGCTAACAGATAATAATGAATTAGCTGTGAATTTTGTTTTAGTGTAATGTTCTGTGTTGAATGCGTTCCCGTTTACTTGAATGGGTACTTGATTGGTAATATAATAATAGATTTAAGCAAACGATCTATCTTATTGCTAGTTCTACTATCAATAATTAAAATTCTTTTTTAAATTATTTGCTTGCATGACATGATTATTCTAGCAACTGCCAATATAAATATTACCATATCGCATTCAAAAGGTTGAAATTGGTCTTTATTTCTGTTTTATTACGTATGCCTTGAATGCTCAATAATTGTATTACAAACATTTTGTGGCAATTTCAATGCAAATAAAGAGGTAAAGCAATCTTTCGAATCTTACTAACATTTCAAAACTTCGATACGTTTTTTAATTATGGACCATTAAAAGGATAGAATCAGTGCAATTTAGATTTTTTGATTTAATGACGTCAGTAGGTATTGTCTAAATAAACGTAAACTTTAATAAGTAGAGATAAACAATTAGAGTAAACAAAGCTGATTGAGTAGCAACTTTCATAAATTTAAATTAATCATACAAAGTTTTAATGAAATTAAATTTAAACAATGCATATAGCGTCTTACTTGGTGCTATAGTCCATCTCTATCGATAATACTTAAATTTAGAAATGAAGAATTAGCACAGCTTCTGATAATTGTAACGGTAGATAAATTTACACTGTATGGTAAATAAATCTGACAGTAATTAAATTAATTCGTGGTCAATTTGTATCACTTTTAGTAATATTTCTTGCTATTAAAGCAGTCGGTAATCAAGCCTGAAATATCGCTTGACCACATAGTGTACGATTACGATTAAATCCTTTATTTCTGGAAGTGAAGAGAAAACTTCATTCCTTTCTACTTAGCAAAACTGACGTAAACGGTAATGAATATGAAACGTGAATTTAAATATTAAGGTAGTACGATATTTCAGATTCCTGATGCGTCAGATTTATTAATAATGTACCCAATAGCAGTAGTATCAGTTTGGAAATAATTTAGCAAATATAATGATATTTTAAACGAAACAAGTAATAAAGCTAATTAGCAGGTAAAGTAATAATAGCGAAATATTCATACAGGACTTTATTTAACTAGGACTAATTTCACTTTAAATTATCAATATGGACGACATCCTGATTACATTACAGTACATTTCTTCTTTTGTTCATTAGATATCTTCTTTATAATTTCTCGTGCTTCGGCTACCTCTTCACTATCATGACCTAACGAATCGATTCAAATTTTAAAGCATTTCTGATGTTAATTCACAACGAAATCGAATTGATTCTTAGCACAATATGTTTGACTAATAGTGTAGTAACTCGTAGCTACAGTTTAATTTTTCTCTCCTAGTAATTCTAACTGAATCTGTAAGCAATTTTCATACTTTGCTAAGTTATTTTCATATTTATGCATTGATAAATAGGATACCTATATGGAATTGTACGTCTGTGCAATAGTTAAGTCATTTTTTCAACAAGCTTGGCTAAATATTTAAATATCTTTGCCAAAATTTTAAAGCAGCTCTAAACTTATTTAGACTATCATAGATATCTCTCCATAAAATAGTAGCATTTTTAGCAATCTCTACATTTTGCCTTTTAGCCAGCTCTAATTCAATCACTAGTACCTTCTGAAAATGAAATAGAGCTTCACGGTACTTCTCTTTGTAATAATAAACCTGACCAATTTGAACATAAGAAAAGTTATATATAAAAATTTCTTACCTTTAGTGTTGACGTAGATTTTTAACATTCTTTGATGTATGTCTAATGTTGCTTGAAAGTTTCCCTGTTCTTTGTAGATAGTAGCCATAAGCTTAAAAGTATTCATTATATCGATATGATTTTCTCCCAGTAGATTTTTCTGTATTTCTGAACATTTTAGTAAGGAATTTAAAGCTTTGTTACATAACTCTTGAGAATAGTATGCATATCCAAGGTTATTGTATGTTCTAGCAACATCTAAATGCATTTCTCCAACAGTGGCTTTTTGAGCAGCTAGGCATTTCATCAGCGCTAATACAGCTTCTTCGTAATTTTCTTGACTTATAAGAACTGAGGCAATATTGGCATAAGAATCTGCTACATCTATATGATTTTCGCCTAAAATATCTAACCGAATCTTCAAAGCTTTCTGCAACATCAGTATTGCTTCACCATAATTTTTTTGAGCTTTGTAGACTATTCCAATGTTGTTATAGTATGTAGCAATACGTAAATTATTTTCTCCCAGCCTTGCTAGTTCTATACTTAAACTTTTCTGGTACATTCCCAGGGCTTGAAGATATTTTTTTTGTGAGCTATAAACTGAAGCAAGATTGTTATATGAGATGGCAACATTCGCATGTTTTTCTCCAAGTATTTCAAGTTGAATAAGCAATGACTTTTGATGGATGCCTATTGCATCGTCATATCGACCTTGCGATTCACAGATCGAAGCAATATTATTATAAGATGATGCTATGTCCATATTCTTTTCACTTAATATTTTTCGTTGAATCTGTAAACACTTCTGATGCATTTCTAATGCTTTACTAAGCTTTCCTTGGAAAGTATAAGTTAGTCCGATGTTATTATACGAATTGGCAACATCAATGCTTTCCTCCTAATAATTTCAGTTCGATCTCCAAGCACTTTTGAAGCATAACTATGGCATCTTCATATTTGCCTTGACAATTATAAATTAATCCTATCCCACTAAAGGAACTAGCTATTCTCAAGCTATGCTCTCCCGTGATATTTTTTTGGATGCTTAGAGCTTTTTTATGCATTAGCAAGCCATCTTCGTACATGTTTTGTAATTTAAACAGTAAACCCAAATTGTTTAATGTAGATGCAACTTCCAAACTATTCTCTCCTAATATTTCTGTTTCTATCTTTAGTGATTTGTTGAGACTTACAAGTGCTTGCTCATAATTGTCCATTCTAGTATCTAACTGGCCTATTCCATCAAGCGTTTTAGCAACGTAAATATTATCTTCACCCATTAAATCTATCTGAATTTTGAGACATTTTTTAAACATTATCTTTGCATCTTTATATTTGCCTTCCGATCGATATACGATACCTATGTTATAATAAGATTCTGCTACTGCCATGCTATTTTCGCCGAAAATATTCAATTTCTTGCTTAGCGAATTTTGATGCATATCGATTGCCTCATCATATTTGCCTCCTAAATCATATACTAATCCTAAGTTATTAAATGAATCACAAACTCCTAAACAATTCTCACCCACGGCGTCACGATATACCATTAAACTTTGCTCATGTGCAAATATACAATCCTTGTATTTACCTTGAGAGCAATAAACCAATCCTATTTCGTTATAAATTTTGCCTATATTTGACTTATTAGCTACCTCTGTAATATTTTGGCGTATAATATCTAACGATTGCTGTAAATAGGACAACGCATTGTTGTATTTTCCTTGTAATGAGTATATTCTACCGATCTGATAATAAGAGATACCGATATCAATGCCTTGATCATCTAATATTTCGAGTTTTATTTTAAGAGATTGCTGATAACAATCCATAGCTTGCTGATATCGGCCTTGCATTCTCTTGACATCGCCGTAAATATCATTGCTTCTCGAAATACGAACTTTATCATTGAGTTTAACAGCAATAGAATGGGAAATATCACAATATTTTAAGGCTTGCTGATAATTATACGACTTACAGAAACAATCTGATAGGCGAAGAAGATCATCATAATATTTTTTTCCTTGACTATCATTAAGATCGTCATTCTGGTAGGCTTGAATTATTTGTTGGTACTTATTAATAGCTTTTAAAAAATTTCCGCAATAATAGAGATCGTCACTTTCTTTACGAAGGGCTACTAGATCCATTTTGAGTTATCTCTAATGTCAGATGATCCTTCAGCTATATACTTGTTTTACTGTTAACAATGCAGCGGCTTTCATTTAACTCTGGCAAATCGAAAGATATTGACCATGAGTGATAAAATCTTGATTAATTTTATTTCTTCTCCACTCTCACCTTAAATTGATTCGATTAAGCGGCACCCGATTATAGATAATGGTGGAGGACAAGTCCTTGTAAATAATCTTAAGTAATTCCAAAGCAAATTTGTGGTCAAGAGATAATTTAAATTAAATAAACGATGTATATATATATATATCGTTATATTTCAATTCTAATGTTACCGTTATTACGCACCGGATATTAAAGATGTAACGGGTGTTAAAATTATTTGATCAGCGCATGATCGAAAAATCACATGATCGTGATCACGATATGTAAAATTCTAATACCGCTAGTAATAATTTATCAGCCAATTACCCTTAATTGAATAGTAACACGTTTAGTTGGGTCATTAGCACTTGCTTTATTCTATGTCAAAATGTTCAGTTTGGAATCGTTAAAGATACCAGCGCAATCCATGACATGTCTGATTTATTGCAAACTCAAATTTAAAGGAACTCATTGTCACAAACCAGCTTCGTGACAAGGATAACGTAAACAAATCTCTAAATTACTATAGTCTCCGGGATCCAGTATCCTTTAACTATCTCACAAGAATTTAGACGCCTTTGATTCTACGTTAAACTCAACTAGACAATTTAGAACTACTTTATTCAACTATCTGACGGGCTTATATACCCTTCTACAGCAGCTAACATTCACAAGTTATCTTATAAAAATACTTAGGTGAGAACATCTACTAACTAATTTTTCACAGCCGGACTACAATATGTCCATTCACAGAATCATTTCAGTGCACATTACAGCACAGCATTAAATTTACTGTAACACATTTATAATTAGAGTAATTCCTATTGTAAGTAACTAGTTGTAATATAATATCACTATATTATATTAACCAAATTTAGATAGCTATTTCTTCACGGTAGTTCGTACCGCGACACTCATCAATTCCATTAATTTTAAAATATGCTTCAGCCGGAATAGTAAAGACAATACTAATACGATTGCATCTTTTACGATTGAAGAGACAATTTCAAATAAAGTTAGATTATACCTAACATATGACAACTGGTATCCGATATTATAGGCCTACACCACGATGTACCAGCCTCGTAATTAATGATTATAGTTTTCTTAATTACGAAATATTATAAAAGCATCACCCATAGTACCTAAACCCAGGCAGTTAGGCAATAAAAATTTTATCATAAATTGAATAGCTCCCTAAATTTTAGCTTCTACTATATGACTTGACCATGTAGGATAAAATATGCATCGTTTAATAAATAAATTTAAGAAAAGCGAATAATTTTATTAGAATTATGGTCATTAGAAATTATCACAAAGCAATAACTTAATAGGAAAAAAAAACTCTCAGAAGGATCTTTATTTCCTATTGTATAAAGTGGAATGATTTTCTGTAACAAAATAGAATTGTATAGAATTTTATTTCTCATATAAATTCTACATGTATTGACGTTTTTGTCTGATCTAAGCAGATATTGACGCTAATATTATAATTTATCTAACGATCTCAAGTACACGCATAATCGAATAGTTCTGCTATGCTTAATTTATTCTCAGTTTACATTTTGAAGCAATAGCGAAAGAAAATGGAGGTATTGCAATCCAAATTAATTGAAACTACAGAGTAAAAGTCGCTATAACAACCCATTATACGTAAATCACTAATTAATCTTGCAATTAAAAAACATCGAACTCTTCAAAATGATACCATTATTAGTAATAAATCGGTAATGAATTAATTAATAAAGAGATAGTAGGATAACGTATTCAATATTTTTAAAATTAAGAGAAAAACTATGATTTACTGGATATCATTTAGAAGCCACTATTTTCTTTTCAATTTCTTCTAGATGAAACAGAAAACTGCATGAAATATTATCTATCCAGACAAGAAATTTATCTGCTAATTTTATTTTAATGTAAAATATATTTGATTATGTTTATAATAGTTTCCTGGTTGGATAACTGTTTCTCTCTGTATTCTATAAGATTGCGACTATGAAATTTACGTTGAAATATTAATCTAATAGATTACATTGATGAGCTAATCTTCTTCAGGTAATTAGGCGAGCAGAAATGATCTTGTGACTTGCAGTACTTATCTGCAAATTTCAATCTGAATTTTTCAATGTTTAGTGCTCAGTCTAAATACCGTACTTAACTATTCAAGCTAATGATATCCCTTGAATGGTAATAAAATTCGTACTATAGATATGATGTCTGCTGTAATTGCAGTATTGTACACTGTATCTTCCCTTGTTACATATTTAACGGTTTAGTTTGTACTTTGTTATGAATACTCAATATCATTATCGAATCGAGCAAATTCACTTTTCAACATTTTCAAATAAGATTAAATACGTTTATGCGATCTTCAATATTGGAACTAACTATATCACAAAGTATCAGAGTTGGTACTCTATTGCAGTCTCTAAATAAGCTGATTATCTAGTTTAATGCAAAAGAGTTGCTGCAAAATGAATATGATTTAGCACTACCAGAATTCAATATAATCTAGCTTGAATGCCATGTATTTTAGGTGCAAATAGACGCTTACAGTAATTTTGATGAATTTAATTAATATTTTCGATCGTGAAATAGAGTAATTTAATGAGCATTTCAAGGTTGCTATCAAATCTAACTGTCTTGTCGACTTTGATCCTACCATATTTTCGTGAATCGAGAATACACGTTATAAAATATACAAATGAAGCTATGATGAATTTCCTAGGAAATGCTCTTAGGTTTCCAAGTCGTAATACTAATTCGAATTTTGAAACTCTAAACCGATTATATAAACGGCCTAATAAATTCAGAAATCCTATAGGAAATATTCAAACGATTTCCAACACTGCAATGGCAAATTTTTAATAATGACTATCATTGCAGAATTTTAACTGACGAATTAAAGTACTTTAGTGGTAACTTTGAAAATATGCGGCCAAATAGGTAAAATATATCACTTATATTTGTATTCTTGTACCGTAAACGACCTTATTTATAGCCAATGTAAACCGTAAAATTTATTTCCAATAGAAAGATAGTCGCCTCAATTAACACAGTCAAAGTCTAGTTTATTTAATATTAACTGTACCCTTCCGAATAGTTCATTTTATCTATTTACTTAGTTTTGTTAAAGCATATTGCCATAGTAAATTTTTACTCAAATTTACCAAATTTTATTGTAATACTTGGACTGTAATCATCAATTGATTAATCCAATTTTACTGTCTAAGAACTCATTTTTCAATTTTTTCAATATAGCACGATTTTATGCTATGGCTTCCATAAATTATAAATAGCAGGAAAAGCTTAATAATTCTATACAGTTTCTATAAGTAATAAATGTGATCAAAATGTGAAACTAAATTTTGGTCGCAATATATTACTGTAAACTAAATCTAAATATCTATTTAAACATGACAAAATCGAAAAAGAACGCGAGTATTAATATTATAATCGATTAAATTATAATTCTTATAACTTAAACATCGACAAAATTTGTTTAACGAAGAATATATTGAACAACAAACACAAGATATTCCTTTAATTGATATCTTTAGAATGGATGTCGAGACTGTCGTCTGATTGCTTGTAGCCGATGAAGCCAAGACATAATATCTTCGACTACAAAGATGTTGAAGAAACATTATCAGTTTTGTTGTCGTTATCTTAATCCCATGTCATCATGCCCATCAGTATAAACTTATTAAGAGGACTCTAGTATGATGCAGTATTTAGAACTTTTCAATTTCACCAATACTTGACTTAATAAAATAGTGCTGGAGAGTACTGTAGCAGTAAACCTCACTAACCGTAAATTTTAATACCACAAGTATATTAACCAAAATGTTACAATTTCAGGAATTTACTTATAATGAGTAGTTTATTGACTAGATTTATTAGTAATAATGCATGCTACTTAAAAACAACTATAGGAATTACAATATTCATGCTTCTAGATACCATTTATAAAGAGCCAGCTTTCAATCGCTTATAAAAGCTTATTACCTGCAAGAACTGCTTTAAAGTTTGATTGCTTTCAGATGCAAAATTAAAGAATGGAATTTGACTTATCATTTTCATGGCTGATGTCTACCTGTGACAAAGCTATTTGAAAAATAATAGAAATGAATATTCAAACATTTCCTGCTTATGATAAATTTTAAATAATTTGGATTTCGTTTCAGGACCTGATTGTACATACCGTATTCGCTATCTTCGCATAATGCAGGATGTAGCAGTTTGCTCGCCAATGGAACCCATTTGATAGGATCAAAAATTGGATGCAAATGTACATGCACAGTGCATTCATCATCAGGAAGTAGGAGGAAATTATACTAGTTAATATAAGTATTAGCTATAATATTGTCTACCCAGACATACTGCGTATAATTGTTTAAACCGTACTCATCTACTAAGCCAACAAATATAATCCCAAAATAAAATACAGCATTAAATATAATGCTTAGTTCCTCATTATCAATGATCGCCAAATCACTACCATTAGTAATACACCATAGTTGACTTTCATTGTAATTGTCAATAGCAGTCCTATAGGTAAAAAATCGATTCTCATTCTTGACTGTGAAAAAGCAATCCACTGCGATAAATAGATAATCAATTTTAGACGAATATTTAAGACATTTAATAGAGAATGCAAAATTACTGAATGCTTAATCTTAAAGCTTACCATTTACATATAGTGATCATGAAGTACAAAAATGCATTTCTCTTAACTTAATGTAATCAGCATTTATTTAGGCTAATTTAAGCGTTATGTCATAAATTTAAAAAAGGCTAAGAATTACTGTGCTTATCTAATATTGAATATAGAACCTAAATCGCAAACTAAAGCTTTAAGGCAAAAGGT